TTTGAAAGAATAGACACACCCCTAGCCAATCTTACCAAAAAACAACTCAATGCAATTAGAAATTAAAAAGGCAAAATCACAAAGGACTCTGCTGAAATTCAGCTTATCAGTAACTACTTTGAAAACTTGTACTCCAATAAAATGAGAATTCAGAAGAAATAGCTAGAGTCCTAAATACATATAAACTACCAAAACTGAACTAAGGAGACATAAAAGTTCTCAATGGTCCATTCCCAGGCAGTGAGAGTGAAGATACAATTTTTTAAAAAAATCTACCAGTTAAGAGAAACCTAGGTCCCAATGGGTTTACTCCCAAATTCAGTAAGAACCTGAAGGAAGACCTAACTCCAATAGTCTTCAAATTCTTTAAAGAAATGAAAACGGAAGCAGCACTCCCAAAGTAATTTTGGATACTAGCATTACCCTGATTCCAAAACCAGAAAAACACCCAACCAAAAAAGAGAACTATGAGCCAATCATTTAAAAAACACAGACAAAAATCCTCAAGGTACTGGCAAACAGGGTCAGGGATATAGTTCAGCAGCACAGTGCCTGCCTGGCAAGTGCAAGGTCCTGAGTTCAATTTCCAGTACTGGAAAAAAAAAAAAGATACTAGCAAACAGAATACAACAAGTCATCAAAAATATCACACATCTTGACCACGTAGTATTCATTCCATGGACATGGGGATGGTTGAGCAAATGTAAATCAGTTAAGTGTCATATAGCACATAAACAGAAGGGCAAAAAAAAAAAAAAAAATCACATGATCAACTAAATTGATATAGAAAAGCCTTGAAAAAATCCCAAACCTATTCATGATTTTAAAAAACTGAGGGAAATAGGTACCTTATTTCACTCTGATAAATTTTATGAGAAACCTAGGGCCAATACCATATTAAATGGAGTGAAGCTGAAAGCTTTCCCTCTAAAATCAGGTTCAAAACAAAGAGGTCCACTATCAGCAGTACTGTTCAATAGTTCTTAAAATATTAGCCAAAGCCATCAAGCAAGAGAGAAAATAAAAGGGATATGTGTAAGAAAGGAAAAAGTCAAAACATTATTTGAAGAAAACATGATCCTCTACCTAGAACACCCCCAAAATTCCACCAAAATACTCCTCAAATTAATAATGAAATTTAACAGTACAACAGATACAAAGTCAAAACAAAGCAAGCACTAAGTTTTTGTACATCAAGAAAGATGTTAGGAACATGGTACCTTTCACAATATAGACAATGAATATAGCAGTAAAGGCCATACTTCTAAAACTAATTTACACATTAGTAAACCCAATCAAAATATAAATAGGAATCCTGACAGAACTATAGAAAGTAATCCTAAAATTCATATAGAACAGAAAGGGACACAGAACAAAAACAACACGGGGAAACAAGAGCAGAGAAGGAGGAACTGCCATTCCAGACTTCATGTTATAGTACAATGCAATAGTGATAAAAACATGGTGGTGCCTGCAAAAACAAAACAAAACACAGACACATGGATCCATGGAATAGAACAGAGGATGCAAAAGCAATTCCAAGCACATTCAGCTACCTGATCTTACAGAAAGGGGCCAAAAATACATGCTGGAAAAAAAAATAGTCTCTTTAACAAATGTTGCTGGGAAAACTGGCTATGCATATATAGAAGACTGTATCTAGATCCACATCTCTCACCATGTATTAAAATAAAATCAAAATGAATCAAAGATCCAAATATCAGAACTGAAACAATCTGCACGAAGATAAAATAGGTCAAATTCTTGAAGACATACATATAGGCAAGGCCTTTCTGCACAGAACCCAAACTGCACAAGAGATAACATCATGAATCAAATGGGATTATACAAAATTATAAACCTCATGCACAGCAAAGGAAACAACAAAGCAGAGTCAACTTACCAAATGGGAAGAAAGTTCTGTCACCTGTTCCTTGGACAAAGGGCTAATATGTAGAATACGTATATAAGAGAACTCAAGAGGGGCCTTGGACTTGGGAAGCCTCAGTGAGCTGCCTGGGAACCCTGGTTCCTCCAGCCCTGCCCCCTGCTGCCACCTTCTGGAGGGGCCTTGGACATGGGAAGCTTTGGTGAGCTGCATGGGGGCGCAGATCCTTCAGCCCTGATAACTGCTGCCACCATGAGAATGGCCATGCACTTGGGAAGCCTTGATAAGCTGCTGGGGGCCTGGGATCCTCTGGGCCCATGCCCACTACCACTGGGGGAGAGGTCTTGGACTCGGGGAGCCTGGGTGAGCTGTCTGGGTGCCTGGGTTCTCTGGCTTCATCCCCCGCCACTACCTCAGGAACAAACCTGAATCCCAAAAACCTAGGGATACTTGACAATGACAAAAAGAAGCAAAATGCAATCTCAGCCAAACACCCCACCCAGAACAAGTCCAGAAAACATCAACAAGGAAGAACATGGATACACACAACTGAAATCTTTGAAATGATAGCAACTGAAGTAAAGAACCAACTACATTAGGCTGTAGAGGAAATCAGATCAGAAATAATTGCTCAGGTAAAAAAGAAATGACAACCATAATGAATTAATTGCTGGGCATATCAAAAGAAGACATAGACAAAAAACAGAGGAGCACAGAAAAATGATGGAAACCTTGAATGGAAATTAAAAATTCCATTGAAAGCTGAAAGAATTGCTTGAATGAAACGGAAGATAGACCCTCAGACCTTGAAGATCACTGCAGCTAGTGATCATGGAAGAAAAGATCTCCTAAAAAGAACAAAGGAACTGCAAATAACAAATCAACAGTTGCAAGAACATGCAAAGAAAAACAATACAAGGCTGATAGGTGTCAACAAAAGAGCAAGAGAACATGAATGACATAAAAAGACTATTTGCAGTAGTAATAGCAGAAAATTTCCCAAATGTGGGACAAGAACCTTATACACATGTAAGAGGCACATACAACCCCAATTAGGCATAACCAAAATAAATGTACACCCAGACACATAATCAGGATCCCAGAAATTGAGCAAAAGAAAAGGATATTAAAAGCTGTTACAGAAAAGAAACAGATCACCTATGAAGGAAAGCCCATCACAATCATGGCAGACTTCCCAGCACAGACCATCAAGTCAAGAAGAGCTTGAGTGAAGCATTTCAGGTCCTGAAAGAAAACAACTTCCAACCCAGATTGATGTACCCTGCAAAATGATCCTTCAAAATTGATGGAGAAATAAGATACTTCCATGACAAAAATCGACTGAAGAAATTCATGAACGCCAAAACAATCATACAAAGACTACTGAAAGATATTGTACAAAGACGTAAAAGTGACTACAATCTCAAGACCAACAATAAAAAAGAACTACAAGCAAAGTAAGCAGTTAAAAAGAGGGGAAAGCACAAAACCAACAGTGGGAAAATAACACGACAAGGATAAATCAATATATCATTAATAACCATAAATACAAATGGCCTCAATTCACCAGTCAAAAGAAACAGACTGGCAGAGTGGATCAAGAAATAAAATCCAACAATATGCTGAATACAAGAAATGCATTTTAACGCAAAAGGAAATCCACAGACTGAAAGTCAAAGAATGGAAAACAATATTCCATGTGAAAGGAACCCACAAAAATGCATAAGTAGCTATTCTGTTTGCAGAAAATATGAACTTCAAACCAACAATGATCAAAAGAGATAAAGAAGGTCACTATATTTTTGTTAGGGGAAAACTGCAAGAGAAAGAGGTAACAATCATAAATATATATGTACCAAATGTAGAAGCATCCAATTATATAAGATATAGTATCCTATAAATTTTGATCAAGTAAGCCACATTAGGTATTACATGAGTAATAGAAAAATTTAAAAGAATCAGATTTACCATAAGAAGATTCTAAAACAGGAACAGTATCTTGGGAAATGAATTCAGTGTAGGCAAAACAGAAGTTGTTCATGATAAGTGAAAAGAAATTTTTTTAAGTAAAATATGGAACATTTTGAAATTATCTTTGTTTCATACTATTTTAATAGGCAATCACAAAGAACTAATAACTCTACAATTCTCCCATGCCTGGAGATGTAGAAATGTGTATTTTAGTTAAGGTAAATTATTAAAACCAAGGATTCTGTGTGCTTTGTATCTCCAATGGATGACACATAAAGAATAATTTAAGGGCAAAAATTCATAAATGTAATTAAGGATTCATAAATGAAGGGTTTATCATTTACATTTCTATAACCACCAAAAATTGTCAGTTATAACAAAAAAGAATAAAATATGACTTACAGGAGTAATTGTGTACAGATTATTTGAAGTTTAATGACCCTAGGTAAAATATTACTAGAAAAGTTATTGTGCTGTTTACCCAGTAAACATCATCATCTTTTAACAGCAACCTTCAGTAAGAAGGAAGAATTTAATGCCTAGGTTAGAATAATACGCCACTCAGCACTCAATATTTTTAACACATTAGGAATATTTAACTTATTTAAAAACTTCAAGGTTATATATAATCTCTAGCAAATCCAAAATTCATTCTATATTCTCTGAGAAACACTTTCAAAACTGGCAAAAACCTATCTTTTTCTAATACAATATCCTATTTGGAAGATATTCTTTGTCCAGTTTTCAAAAATGAGGCTATGTAGTCAATAGACTTACAATCAACATACTCCTTTAGAGAGGAGTAATCTGTATTATTCTCTGATATGTGTGAATATGTAAGACTATCAATTAATAATACCTAGTATATTCTAAGCAAAAGTTCTTATTTGCCACATTTTCCTATTTGTATGATTTATCCCTAGTAACAAATCTCACATTATGTTTGGAGATCTGAATGAAGGCTAGCCTATACCTTTACATGATTTTTTCCAAAATAAATATTTTGATGTTATGAAGTGCATATTATTATCAGTCTCTCCAGTCAATACATATGTAACATTTTAATAAAATCTGTATCCTCTCATGTTCAATGAAGACTGAAGGTCTACAAAAGACTTTTTCATATGCCTTGCATTTGTCATGTTTTTCTGCAGTATAAATTCTCTCATGTTGATTAAAATGTGAAAAATTGTTTCAGGCTTTGCCAGATTTACCTTTAGAGGATTTTTATCTAACATGAATTTACTGATGCTGTGTGAGATTGGAAATGTGCGTTCTTTGGTGCCGAGAAAGATGAGAAATTTGATTGAAAGTTTTGTCACATTCCGTGCATTTATAGGGTTTTTCTCCAGTATGAATTCTCTGGTGTTTAGTAAGGGTTGAGCTTTGATTAAAGGCTTTACCACATTCTTTACACTTGTAGGGTTTCTCTCCAGTATGAATTCTTTGGTGTCCAATAATGGTTGAACAATACTTAAAAGCTTTGCCACATTCTTTACATTTGTATGGTTTCTCTCCACTATGTATTCTCTCATGGTTACTAAGATTTGACCTTCGATCAAACGCTTTGCCACATTGTTTACATTTGTAGGGTTTCTCTCCTGTATGAATTCTCTGGTGTTGAGTAAGTGTTGAACTTTGATTAAAGGATTTCCCACATTCTTCACATTTGTAGGGTTTCTCTCCAGTATGAATTCTTTGGTGTCGAGTAATGGTTGTACAATATCTAAATGCTTTTCCACATTCTTTACATTTGTAAGGTTTCTCTCCTGTATGTGTTCTCTGGTGGCGAGTAAGATGTGAAGTTTGATTAAAGGTTTTGTCACATTTTGTACATTTGTAGGGCTTCTCTTTAGTATGAATTCTCTGGTGTTGAATAAGTGTTGACCTCTGAATGAAGGCTTTGCCACATTCTTTACACTTGTAGGGTTTTTCTCCAGTATGAATTCTTTGGTGTCGAATAATGGTTGTGCAGTATCTAAAGGCTTTGCCACATTCTTTACAACTGTAAGGTTTCTCTCCAGTATGTATTCTCTGGTGCTGTGTAAGAGGTGAAATTTGGCTAAAAGTTTTGTCACATACTTTACATTTGTAGGATTTCTTTTTAGTATGTATTCTCTGGTGTTCAGTAAGTACTGACTTCTGAACATAGGCTTTTCCAGATTTTCTACATTTATAAGGTTTCTCTATACCTCCAGTATGAAGTGTCTGGTGCTCAGTAAATGTTGAGGTTTGAATTAACATTTTGTCAGAATTTTTACAATTGTAGGATTTCTCTCCAGTGAAATCTAACTGTTGTTCAATAGTGGTTAAGCAATGTTTAAAGGCTTTATTATTATCTTTAGGTTTGCAGGACTTCTCTCCAGTATGAATGCACTGATGTTGATTAAAGGTAAAGTCATCAACAAAAGCTTTGCCACAGTCTTTACAGTTATAAAGCTTTTCTTGAAAATGAGTACTTTGATGGGTAGTAAGTTGTGAGCACTGGTCAAAGACTCTCCCACATGTATCACATTTATAAATATTCTCTGAAAAATGTTGATTACTAGGATTTGAGCCATGGTTAAATTTTTCAATAATTTTATTGCATGGATGTATTTTTTGTTCAATATGAGTATCCTGGTAATTATGCAGAGCACAGCTATCCTTAAAGGCCTTCCCATTTTCATTATGTATGTCATGAGTTTTCCAAATATCTATATATGGACTTTGATTATGCATTAATGGATGGGTAATTATATTTCCATGTTTATTAAAATCGCATCTTTTGGCATGAGAAAAGGCAGGTTTAATAATCTGATGAGAATTACTAAAATGAAGTGGTATAAATGTAGATATTTTCTGTGATGCTACATGTTCTTGATCTCTGTTGGCAGTGAAGTTGCTGTTATTTTCAGTTGTCATACATTGGTGATGTCCATTATGAAATGGATTCTCATCTTCACACTTACTAATTTTCCAGTATCTCATTAAGTGCAAATTGCTAAAGGCACAATTTCCAGATCTTTGATTTACCACTTTTTCAAATGAATGTTTCTTGTCCTTCTCTGATAAAAATCCTTGAATATGATAAGAAGACACAGCTGAAGAAACAAAAATGATAAATTATCCCACTCAGGTAGATATAGCTTACAAATCTAATATATTATACTAATCTGAGGACTTCAGCAGAATAATAGAATACAAAACAAAAGGTCTCCATGTCCCACAGATACATGAACTTAAGAAAATCCTGAGATGATTACCTAGAACTCTCAAAACCATTTAGGAATTCACAGCACTCCAACTGAACGTAACACTATGAAGAGTCATACACTTGAGGGAAGGAAATTTACTAGTAAAAGTTATTTTTGTTAACCCCAACTCATCCTCTACAGGGTAGTGACTACACAATACCCAACCACTTTCTTCTTCAGGAAACACAGGACAATGAAGCACATACTGGTTTTATCAGGGATTGTATAAAAACTGTTTTTGTTTACCCTTACATGGAGAATGGCAGATAAAAGCGATATTTTATGTAAGTGCTTCTGTCATGTGAGGCCAAATCTAAGTAATGAGTACAGTAGCAAAGTGAAGAAACTAACACATATAGTCAACAAAAGTAGGAGAGACTTCAGAGCCTTAAAAAATATGACTAAGCCTTTTCAATTGGAAAAGCACAAATGTAATTCTAAGGAGGACTCATACAAAAACAGGTTTAAGAGGTAACAATATGTCTAGCATAGATGACTGAATAACCACAGACCCTGAGAAATGAATATTTATTATTTTGCAAAAATTCTAGTTGGTATTTATTCATTTAAACTGTGCATATATACTATGCATGTTATGCTGTTTTCAAATTATTTTACATAATGATCATTTCTATTCTTAGAAGATTATCTGCATTCTATTAGCATGTCTAAAGAGTACAATGTGTTAACTATATTTACCATATTGCAATAGAATATCTCTTGAACTTTTAAAGGTTGTACTCTGAAATCTATAATCCTCTATCATCTCAAACCCTTCACCAACAATTCTAGGTCATGGTAACCACCATTTTACTCTCCATGTATCTGAAATGAACTTTTTAAGATCGCATATATAATTCAGATTATATACTAATTGCATCAGGCTCAGTTCAGTTATTATGAAGTCCTGAATGACTACCTACACTGAATCAAATGATGAGATTATCTCTTTTTATGGCTGAATAGTAATCTACCTATATATGAATATACTATCCCACTTATGTATGAATAAGATCATATATAGTATCTGTATAATATATACTGTATGATCTTATCTATTAAAGAGAAATTAGATTGATTCTACTTGCTGATTATTGTGAATAATGTTGCACTGAACTTTGTATTGTAGATATCTCAAATAAGTCAACTTATTTTCCTTTGCCTATAGATTTTGTAGTAGAATTTCTGGATCATATGGTTTTTCCATTTTTATCTCTATTTGTTGCTCTTTTGTATTTCTGGGGGTCAAACCCAGGGACTTGTGAATGCTAAGTATGTGCTCTACAAATAAGCTACACTCTCAACCTTATTTTTAAGTTTTTGAGCAACTTTGATAGTGTTTTCCATAATGACCGTAGTAATATGCAGCAGGATGATTTTTAAGTGTACAAATCTTAACAAAAATTAACACAATTTAACAAAAAAAAAAAAATGGCCTAATCAAAACACAATGAAAGAGTAGAAATTAACCCTGAATGCCATTTATGGATTTTCAAAGAATTCAGAATAATAATTTCAAGCATGCTTAATGAGCTAAATAAGAACAAAGAAAACTGAAGCGACCCAGGACAACAAAAACATTAATGGATAAAACATTTTAGACAGAAACAATCAGAAAGGGTGTAGCTAAGAATTCAATAAGTAGCACTGCCTGACAGAGACATCTACATTTAAGTAGCTCAATTAGCTCCAACTAGGACAGACACAGAGACTCAAAAGGAACATAGTAAAATCAGTTTCAAAGTTCCAGTCAAAGCATCCTGACAGCAGCAAGAAAACAATTTTATGAATTTCTCCTATGTGATTATCAGTGGATTTTTCTGCAGGATCCTTGATAGATATATCAAGATAGGAATTAAAGAATACAGACACAGTTCTGATTTTATAAAAACATGGCATGCAAAAATCTGTCCTTTTACTTAAAAATATTAAAAATTTTCTGAGATAAACAACTGCCCAAATAGTTCACTAGCAGCCCAATGAGGTGGCACATGCCCGTAATCCCAGCACTCAAGAGGCTGAGGCAGGAGGACTGCTGCAAGTTCCAGGCCAGTGTGGGACACATACTGAGTTCCAGGCCAGCCTAGAGCACATCGTGAATCCCTGTCTGAAGAAGAAAAAAAAAGTTCATTATCACTAGACCCTACTCCTGAGAACGGTAAAATCAGTCCTTCTCCTTGAAACATAAAATAATGTTACACAGTAACACCAGTCATAAAATTTTGTGCATCTCAGGGAAATACATAAATATGTACAGAATACCACAGTACTAAAATGAAAGTGCAAAAGACATTCTCAACTTTACTGAGAATTAAAAGAATAAAAGGATAAAAACATCATAAGCAGCTTTCATTATGTGTACAAAAACAATGCTGTGGAAAAATACAGATAAAATTTAATTTTTATGTGAAATTCAAGCTGTTACTTGAAGCTGTAAAATGATTTTGATAATTCCCAATGTAATGACAAAATACCTACATAAAATAAAAAGGCAATATAGGAAAAATAAAAATGTCAACTCTAAAAATCAATGAAACACAAATTAAAGCAGAGTAGGAAAAATAATTACATAAATATTTAATATAACCACAGTATTAATTTCTTCCTCTACAGAAACTTGTTTAAATTTTTTTGTTGTTTTAGAGACAAGGTCTTACTATATAGCTCTTGCTATATAACCTAGGCTGGCCTTGAACTTACAACAATTCTCCTGCCTCAGCCTTCAAGTGTTAGGCTACAGGCATGCACCACCATAACTGGATAACTTGATCAAATTGAACTTAATCTAAAACCTCAATCAAAATAATAAAATGGCCATTTGGAATAAATCTTCAAAAATTTAAATATATGTCTATAAGAGGTTCTTTTTAAATCAAAGCACATAAAAAAAGAAAGTGAAAGGATGGCTATGACATTTCATACAAAGTTGTCAAAAAGAGCAGAAGTGATCATAAATATATGGGATATAATACTCTTAAAATTTGATATACCATTTAAACAATTATTATGGATAAGTATAATTTTCAGCTATGATTATGTGCCTATGAGGAACTGGCTTTTAGTTTCAGTGACATTCATTTTATGGCATAAGAATTTCCAGAGAACAACCATTATAATCACACACAAAGTGATACATTGAGACAACTTGAGTGAATAAGTACGTAAATGATATTAGAGAAACCTCTTTACAATGTGATTAATATACTAAATTGGAATAACACAGATGCCGTCAGAAATTGGCACAGATCTTCTGAGATCAGCAGGGGCAATGGAAGAGCAGTCAGAGCACGCAGACCCTCACAGGTGACACTAAGAACTCTGGCTGTTATTGTGAATCACCTGGGAGATCACTGGAGGGGAAAAAGGAGCCACAAAGGAATCAAGAGTGTAATGAACTTAGGACAACAGAATCCTTTTTTGATACCAAGAGGAATAAACCTGATTTCTAAAAACCATTTGTATTAGAACAGAAGTTCAATTCATATTGTAAAGCCTGGCTTTCTTCTTGGCTTTTAAGCCTTGTATGTGTGCCCTCTGCTTCATTAACTTCTACCTACCTGGATTTACGGCTGCTGTCCCTTGACTGTTTATATCCCAGGGTTCCCTGCTTTGCTCCAGAAAGGTGATCAGGTATGGCTTAGTGACAGCTAACCCTGTTAATTGAAAAATGGAACATGGCACTTGCTTTAGTTTCTCCCAGCAACTAGACATTTCTTTCTGAGTAGTGTTGTCATTAGAAGAGACATGAGAGAAAATTCCAGAACATTGTTTCCCCAAAATATTTTTAGACAGCCATTTGATTATATAAAAGATTTCTAACTTGTAGCTCCTGAGCTCTACTTTCAACCACTAAATCAAAACTAAAGGCAGGGGTGGGTGTAAGTTATAAGAAACAATTTTTATACCACTAAATTTCTAAAATTATTATTAATATGCACGGAAGGATGTATACAATACTTCAAGAAAGGGGCATACAAAAGGAAAGAATGGCATAAAAAAATTTCTTGTCTACACTAAGAACCCTCAACTTTTTTCTGTGAAATCAAAACTTGAAGCTCATTCATACAAACCATAAGTTTAAAAAAAGAATAGAAATTAATGCTGATAGGAATTAGGAATTCTATAGGGAAGTTATACTCACCCAAAGAGAGGAGGTTTTTATAGTTCTCTACCATCACATCCCTATACAAATTCTGCTGAGCAGGCTCCAGGAATTCCCACTCTTCTACAGAGAAATCAATGGCCACATCCCTGAATGTCAACATTTCCTGAAATAAATACATAAATAAATATCACTTTGATTCTGTGGTCACTGACAGAGCTCAAAATCTGTCCCAATATGAAATGAGTTAAAACTGCATTTGACATAGGTGAGTGACCTTCATTATTTTATAAGACACTTGTAGTATTACCTAATTCTGAGGAAAAATCCATAATGCAAAATTCACAAAGCTACTGTACACACTACATTTTAAATTCAAAATATAAAATTAAGGCATCAATACAGCAACATATATATCTGAATACTGCATTTATATTTTAACAGGTAAGTTCTATGTATCTCTCATGAGAAAGATATCATAAATCAGAAAAGTACTTCTCACTTTTAAAGTTACAACCCATAATCAGAGACCTTATTAAAATGTAGGTTATCATTCTATAGTGGCATGGTTCAGGCTTCAGAATGTGCAGCAAGCTCAGAAGTAATGCTAAGTTCAGTGGTCCAAGGAGACACAATTTTAGACAGCTAAAAGGTAGCACACCATGGAAAACTTCACACATCAATTTAAATGCATATATTTTACTGTATTTACACACTTCAATATACTAGCAAGTACAGCAATCCTTCCTGAACATATTAAATATATGAAGTGTAATTCTACTGATTTTCATATCTTTTTTATTAGTACAGGTTTGCAGTACCTAATGTTTAGATTCCTTGTGGGAAACTGGTTCATGTACGTAACACACCTTAATTCCCTTTTCCTTCCTTCTCTCCTCCCTCCCTTTATCTCTGATATTTTTGAGTGATATTTTCTTTTTACGAAGTATGTTTTTGCAAATATCCACTAAATTGTAGAACAGAGTTTTATACAAGTTTATGTCACTTAAAATTTATATAAAACAAAATAAAAATTGTTAAAACTAAAAGAATGTGCTGGTAAGTCTTCACAACTGACAAGCATGAAAACACATTGGGAAAACTAAACAAAATTGATCAGTACTACTTACAACTTATACACACATAAAATATTATCTACACTACATAACCAGTAAAAATGTTCACGTCAATAAAAGAAGAACATGTAACTAGGGAAAGCACAGGCTCTGAGTATTTCTGATTCCAGCCTGCAATTCCTGGAGCCCTGATATCTCACGTAAACAATATGTGAGTGGTGAAAGCAGGAGGGAGGGAGATTAACTTCTAGAGAGAAGAGCTACCAAGAGGGATATAGTGAATGAGACAGAAGAACTCTGAAATAAAATAGAAAAGCCCTTCCATGAGTAAACTGAATACTTTCTGTTAGACATTGCCCTAGTTGCCCCTGAACTCTCAGGTATCTCACTTTCCTGTCAGTCATCCATTGTCACTTTCCTTTGTGGTAACTCCATTCTCACTAATTCTCTATATACAGGCAAATTTTTAGTAAGATATTTATTCTAGACCTGAGGCCATGGAGTACTGGCAAAATGAAACACAGAATACACAAGAGAACTTTGAACAGAAACACACACAGGTGCAGAAAGAAATGAGACATCTTAACAACAGTACTTTCCCTCTCATTAGGCAGATATGTGTGATAAGTCAATTAAACTGAGATATAACTTGACTTTTTTGGGGGGGGGAGTGTTCCGGTACCGGGAATCAAACTCACGACCTTGAGCTTGCCAGGCAGGCGCCGTGCCGCTGAGCTAAATCCCCAGCCCCCTAACTTGACATTTTGACGGAGACCACTATGAAGCAGTTCTGAATAGGATTTAATAATGACCAATTGGCTTTCCATGTTTACTTGTGAGGTGTCAAAGCCTAGGCACCTTGTCTGGAGATGATAATCCACTGCCTTATATACTCCTGATGTTTCTCGTGCTTTATCTTGCTCAACAAAATAAGTTGATAATAAATCATTAAATAAAAGGTGGTGTGGAGGGCAAGAAAAGGGTAAGAGGGCACAAGGGAAAACACTGATTAACAGGTATGTCAGTTTCACTGTGGTGCTGCCTTTGTAGTTGTGTGCATACATCAAAACAAACAACATCTACCTTAAATATACACAGATTATCATGTCAATTATACCTCAGTAACTGTAAAATTATAGTATTCATGTAAAAGCTGAGGTTAAAAAGGATACATACAGTATTACATAAGTAAAATAAAAAGAGACTAAGACTCCATTAGCTAATCATCAGTCTTGGTAATTTAGAAAATGTAATTTTGTAATAGGAACATAAAGAGAATTCTTGGTAAAAGAACAAATTTAACTGTATCAAAAATGAACATACTACATAGCAGCAGCAGTGCCAAATATTGACTAATGAAATTAAGAGTTCTAGTAAATTTGATAATGAAGAATTATATATTATGTGTAACCTAAATATGCATACACTATATATAGTCATGACTTATTTAAGGTGGGTATACATTCTGGAAAAGACATTGTTATGCACATTTCAGAGTGTAATTACACAAACTTAGACACAGCTTACTACATAGCTATGCTATGCTACAGCTGTGGTAAAAGAATTCCATCACTGACCAAAATATCATTATGTAGCACTTGACTGTATGTTATAAATCAGTGTAGACCAGCAGGCAGATGAATATGTACAGCTGATGAACTAAAAAGACAATGTTTAAAAAGATCTATCCCTTTTTCTGGTGTGTGTGGGGCATTGGAAATCGAACTCAGGACCTTGTGTTTGCCAGGCAGGCCCTGCACTGCTGAGCTATATCCCCGGCAATCTTTTCCTTTTAAACACACAAAAATGCCAGTAACTGCACTGCAGAGGAGTACAAAGCAGATTCTCTTTTGAATAAAAGCTGCTGGGAAAATAGGGTATCTATGTAGCAAATAAGCTATTTTACCCTTTCCTCATACAACAAATCATTTTTAGAAGAAAGAGAGACCTAAGTATAAAAGCAATCTATAAGACATTCAAAAGTTGCTTTAGGAAAGGAAATAACTTATTTTCAAAGCCACACAAATCAATATTAAAAACAAAATATTATTAAATTGGATTACATTAAAACTAAAATTCTATTCATCAAATGAAAACATTAAAAAGTGCAAAAAGAAGCGACGGAGTGGGAGAAATTATATGCCTCACATATGATGAAACATTTTAAATCAGAAAGGAAAGGATAAATACCAGCTGCTGAAGAACAGCAGGCAAAAAACCTGAATAGCTACATTATATAGGAGATGGCAACTGATCAATAATCATCAACAAGCTCAACAGCTTTAAACTTCAGAGAAACATAAAAGAAAATCACATCAGATAGACACACATACACAATATTGACAAAGGCATGGAACAAGTGAATTTTGATGAAATAAAGTTGGGGTGCTTTTATCCATTTGGAGAAACACTTTAGCTGACAACAAAACATCATGCCACCACAGTATAGGTCAGTGGTTGCAAAAATACTGCATGCCAGCCACAGCCAGCTGTTCATTATCACTGAAAACTTTAAAAGGTTTACCATCACCTGGAGGATACAGCAGTACTGATACAAACAAGTGAAATTAAGCACATTGAGGACAAGCAGAAGTGCATTCAGGAAGAAAAACAAAGTGAGGGGCACTTTCTATCAGCCTGCCACACTGTAGGTCTAATACAACCAATTTTAACAAGTATGACCAATAAAATCACATGACTTTATACAGATGTCACATACATGTGATAATTCACATGTATGTTTCACAATGAGATTACAGAATTTATAAAACGTAAAAATTTACAGACCTACAGAAAAACTTCAATACACACATCATGTTCAGATGATAGAATTCATTACAACAGTGACCGTTTCAGCCCAAATTAATCTGCATTATCCCATCAAAATTTCAACACGCTAAGTTGTAAAGAAATCAAACCCTAAAAGTACTCAAATTCATCTAGAAGCTTAAAATGCGTGCATATATAAAATTAGCCAAGAAATTTCTAAATTATAAGGACAGAGGTAGCTATTTTTACCTGACACTACCATACATTATGAAACTATAATTATAACACGATACAAACAAAATCCATAGATGAACCTATACAGGTGTAGGACTTGTTCGCACTTTTCAACAGAAAGGTCTCTGCAAAACCGAGCGTATCGGGAAGGGCATTCAATGAGTGGATTAAACAGCACAAAATGCAGAACCTGGGGCTGTGGCCCTGCTCGCGGGTCGAGGGCGCCCCCGAAGGTCGGGGCTCTGGGTTCTACCTCGCCACCGAACATTAAAGCAGAGAATAAAGGCCAGAGGCTGGAGCTTAAGGGACCCGCCGCCAGACCGGTAAGAAATTAGGTCTTGGGCTCAGAAATGGCGACACTGAGAAACCTAAGGGGTGCGGGCGAGTCTGAGCGACACCGCGGCCGGGACCAGCTCCCCACGGGGGGCGC